TATATATATATATATATATATATATATATATATGTCTTCCTTGTTCCTCTGAGGCCGGGGCTACGGTATTCCTTCATGTGTGAAAAGGGCAGGCGGATAGGCGCACATGCCACCAAGGAGCGAAGAAGAGGGAGAGGGGGATCACAGCAGCACAGAGGCGAACATCGACAGCAACACAAGCAATTCAAGATACAGTGGTACAGTTAAAACACGAGAGAGAGAGAAAAGACGGGAGCAAACAGGAAAACACGTTGATATATGTGAATTTATTTGCGAGGGGATACGGTACACAATATAGACATAACGATGTGAAACCAGCGGTTATTTAGCATAGGAAACAAGGTAGAGGACACACACACACACACACGTGAAGATATACAAATCAATACGGGACAGCTGAGCGCAACCGGGGCACGTCAGCCAACAACGAAGACAGCGACAGAGACGGAGATCCAAACCAAGACAGAGAGGGAGGGAGAGAAGCGCTTCACAAAGACGTGAAAATGAAGAAGAGACAACCACAAAAAATTTATGGTCCTCTTTGTTTGGAAAGGTGTCTCGTTTCTTTGGCGCAGATAACAGCTGTCAAACGACGACGGAGGCACAAAAACAAACAAAAAAGAAGACCCCTCCCTCCCCTCTTGTGGCCGTTGCTGTGGTAGCGCCAACGCTGTAATGCAGCCTTCCATGCAACTCGTCACACCGTCCCTTCGCCTTTTTTTTCTCTGGCCACAAATAACGCGCGGGGAAACACCCAAACAAAAAACCACCACCAAAGGAAAAGAAGAAAAGGAGGGGAAGAAGAACACGAGGGAAGAGAAATAGCGGACAAATAATAAGAGCAATAGTAGTAGCAAAAGGGCGCGAGGAACGACGACAGCATAATACTGTTGGAGCAGCGTGGCATGGTCCTGCGCTATTGAAACCGCAGAAAACACCACGATGCGCACCCACCCACACACACACACAGAAATATATATATATATTTACACACAAAAGGAAAAGGAAACGAATAAAAAACATAATAAAATAGCCAAAGAAAAAGGAGGGGAAAAACATCAAGAGGAGCAAACACGATTCGAAGGGGGACAACGTAAACAACTTACCCCCCCCCCCTGATTCTCCGCGCACTCGCCGTCGCTGATCGCTATCATCCGCCTTCCCTTTCTTTTTCTTTCTGGTGGGTTCCGGTGCGTAGGAATGAAAATGGCAGCGTTGCTTTTCCCCATCGGGGCTGTACACACACACACACACGAAGCTGCGCCCAAAGCGGTTCTTGTGATTCTTCACTAGGGGGAAAAGAGAAGAAAAGAGAAATGACAGCAAACACACAGGGTAGAGAATACAGAAAGAAATTGTAATAATAATAATAGTAAAGGGCAACGGCAATAGCAGTAGCAATAAAACACGTTGTCCCTTTTGTTGGTGTGTGCTTCGGTGGGAACTCAAAGCGCCGCGCTGCAGCAAGATAACTCGGGAGGAAATCATAATAACAAAATGCGAATCTCTCCCTCACGCTCTGCTCTTACGCGTAGAGGCTCCGCATCGTGCTCACCACCAGCTCCGCCTGCTCACTAACGTCGTCCAAATCCTTCCCGCGCAGCTGCGTTAAGCAGGTACTGAGGGCTGCCACAATGTTGGTGCGCACCGCGCTCTTATTGCCGTTCGTCACCACCACCACCAGCACCGCCTCCTTCGCCGCGAAGGCGTCGTTCAGGTACTCCACCAAATCGTGGTAGCCGCCGTCCTCTTCGGTTTCGTCGTCTGTAACGAAGAAGTACGACTCGACGTAGCTGCGCGCCGCACGACTGACGATTGAGGGCAGCGGCCCGCTCGCCATCGAGTTCCCCACATCCGACGCCTCCAGCGAGCCGTTCAGCTGGCGTTCCCTGCGGTGCTCCTGCAGTGCCTTGGTCAACTCCGCAAAGTACTTCTCCAAGTCTGCGCGGTCAAAGGCGCCGTTGGGGAAGCGAGCGTCGGCGCACTGACAGAGCACAACGCGGCGCGTGCGGCATGTCCGCAGCGTCTGCACGCGGTAGACCGCTGTGTTGTTCACTGCGAGCCACACCGCCGGCTCCACATCTGGGATGCGCACCGGAAAGCTGTCATCCCACACAATCACAGCGGGAAGTTTGCTCTTAAACGGTGTTGGCGGTGGCGAGGTGGTGGTGGTGGCCGCATCGGATTTGGCAGCTGCATTGTCCCCTCGTATGGTGTTGTTATTGCTTAGCAAGGAAGGGGATTGTGCCGGCGCGGCTGTTCCGTTGTCGGTGGTCGCCGTGGCGGTGGTCGGGTGCGTCTGCGCGTACGCCTGCCACTGCTCCATAAGAGCCGGGATGGCGTCCAGCACCAGCTTCAGATGATTCGTCGTCTCCAAGGCGAGGGGCAGCGAGTCGAGCGGGTTGCCGCTGAGCCGCACGTGCCGAAGACACGGCGCCGCTAAGACAGAGACCACCTTGGCGGCGGCAGGGGCGGAGACGGAAGCAGGCCCCGCGTCGGTGGGCCCCGTCACCGTGCCAACGTGCGTGATGCAATTGTGGTGTAGGTTCAGCCGCTCCAGGAACGGCGCGCGAGACACCAGCGACGGCGGGATGGCGGGGATGCGGTTGTGCGACACGTCCAGCCGGACCAGACGCGGAATCAGAAGAACGTCCTCGGGAAACTCGTCAAGACGGTTAAAAGAGATGCTGACCTCCTTCAATACGCTAAATGCGCTCAGTTGCAGCCCGGCGGTGGCGGCGAGGGCGTTGTGGCTCAGCCGCAGCTCCACCACCGTCGCGGAGAGTTGATTCAGCTTCTCCAACGTGCTCTGACGTGACAGGTTCACGTAGGTCACCTCCACCTTCGGCTCCTTGGTTGTGGCGTGGTGCTCTACGATCTCCTCCACCGCACTCGCCGCTGCTGCCGCCGCTGCCGCCTCCTCGTAGTCCGGCTCACCGGTGACGCTGCCGGAGGGGCTGCTGCTGCTGCCACAGCCGTATCCGGTCGGGCTGCGCAGCGAGGTGTCCAAATCGGTGTCGCGGCTGTGCAGCACACCGCTGCCGTTCTCGTCGTCTTCGTCGAAGTAGTACGCCGTGTCGTCGTCGTCGTTGCCGTCCGCCGCCGCCGCCGCTTCGTTGGCGTGCCGGGCCGTCTCTGCCTCCTTGCGACGTATGCGGCGCAGCGCACGGACACCGTGGAAGCAGTCCTTCAGGTTTTTGCCGCGGTACACTGATTCAAGAGCCTTGTCGTACAGCTCTGTGAGAGAGCCATGCTGCTGCTGCTGCTGATGATCTCCGTGAGAAGAGGGCACGTCGTGGACCGTGGGGGACTGCGCCGGCGCCCCCGTTTCCTTCGTCGTGGCGAGCTGGCTCGAGCTGCACGGCGCGCCATGCGGGTCGATGTGTAGCGCTGCAAAGAAGGGGTGGCAGGCCGCGGCGGAGAGCAGCATGCGCCTCTTTAAGTCTTTGTTCAGCATGGCGGCGAGTAGGTCCCGCAACTGGGAGTCGCCACTGTCGGGGATGGAAATCGGCTCTGCCCCGAGCAGCGCGTTGCGGTGCTGCAGCAGCGACGTGGTCGACACGGGCAGGATGCCGTAGGCCATCTCGTACAGGGTGAGAGCAAAGGCCCAGCTGTCCACCGCCTCGCCCGAGACTTCTTCTCCGCGGACCTGCTCAGGGCAGCTGAAGGCCAACGTACCGTCCGTTGATTTCGTCCGTATTTGACTGTTGCACGTGCCAAAGTCCGCAATCTTGGCAACCAAATCGTGATTCACGAGGCAGTTCGCAGGCTTGATATCGCGATGATACAGAAACTCCGAGTGTAAGTACAGCAGACCTCGCATAATATCAGCGCCGTACTGCCGCACCTGCGCGAGTGCCAGCGGTGGGGTGCCGAGAACGTGCACCGGGCCTTCTTCGCAGTACTCCATAATCACGTACACCTTCTGCGCCTCCACGTCCTCGATCACCTCCTTCAACTTCGTAATATTCGGATGATCGATGAACCTCATCACGGCAATCTCGCGCAGGAGGTCGTCATCACTGACGCCGGCGCTTGCCAGTTTCACCCGACTGCGGCCAAGATTCATGCCGGAGCTGGACGCCTTCTTTTGCTTCTTGAGTATCTTGAGCGCAAAGAGCTCCTGTGTGCGAATGTGCTGAACCAGCTTCACCTTCGCGTACGAGCCTTGCCCCAGCAGGCGCACCACCACGTAGTCGTTAATAACTCGGTTGCCGCCACTGCTTCGCGACTTGTTCACCACGGCACCTTCGTGAACGGCGCTCGACTTTGACTTGCGTTGGAAGCGCTTGAGGACGTGTTCGTGCGGCGACTCCGCGTCGGCCACCACCGGCTCCGGCGGCTTGAAGAAGCACTCCTGGCAGAGTACGTAGTCGCACTGCTCACACCGGTAGACCGGCTCCGTGTCGTCGATGACGCGCCCGCACCGCGAACACGGCGGGTTAAAGAGGCTGCTCGCACCGCCCTCGCCGGAGAGGGAGAAAATGGAGTCACCGCCAAAGGTGCGGCTGGAGCTGCAGTGGTTATCTTGGATCGACAGCATGGCGTGGGTGGGGTCGTGTATCGCGTGCACCACCTTCAGGTCAAACCGACAGTTTTCACATAAGAAGAAGTCCTCGCACAGCTCGCAGCCAAACGCCACGGCGGAGCTCCTGCAGTGGGTGCACTCGCGCGGCTGATTGCAGAAGGTGGCGAGGCCGTGGTGGTTGGCCTGATCGACGCAGCCGTTACGCGGGGCGCCGACGAGGCACCGACTCGGCGGTCGACTGCCATTCACGGACCCAAATCCATTAAGGATCGGCGACACACTACCGAGGCGGTCATTGCCGGTGCTGCGAGCGCTCGTCGGGGTAAACACATCGTCTTGCGTCGCCGCTAAGCTGACCAGACTCGTCGACTCCGCCGTGTGCTGTCGACGGAGGCTATCCATAGCATTACTATCATCAAAACCGCCGTTCGTACGACCATCACCGGTGGAGTAGAGCAGCGTTGTGGGCAGTGGAGTGGACGAACCCGCTGGCAGCTTGATTGGTTTGCCTCCAGCCGGACTGTGCTTTGCACTGTCCACACCAACCTCCGTCAAGCAACCCGCTGCGGCGGAGTGGAAGATGATGTAGGGGTGCTGAGCAGCGGTGGCACCTTCTTCGTTCTCGTCCTCGTCCGTGGAATCGATATCGAAGTTGCTGCCATCATCCAGGTACTCTACATCCAGCTCCGCCGCCGCGTCCATTTGCATCGCATCTTCCGTCGGTGAAGCAGTCACCACCACACAGGGAACGGCTATAGGGTTCCGCTTTACTTGTTGACTTGCTTTGCTATTGGAGGTGGTGGTGGTCGTGGCGCTGTCGCTGAGACGGCGGTGGCCCGTCTGCAGCGACGGTGGCGACGGCGGCTGTTGTAACGTAGTCTGTCCTCGCGGTGTGCGTGTCGTGCTGGTGGTCGTCGTCATCTGCTCAGCTGACTGCTGCTGCTGCTTTCGACACAGCAGCAACTGCGAGGACGTACTGAGGGTGCTAGCTACGTTTAGTAGGCTGGAGGACTGCACTGGGCTCTTCTCACAGAGGCGACGTTGCTCGCTGTCTTCGTCCTCTGAACGTTGCTGCTGCTGTTGTTGTTGCTGCTGCGGCTGCTCGTGCGCTTGCGCTTGTTGGAGCAGTGGAGAAGAAGGACTTATTTGCTGTACATCGGCATCCTTGTCAGCAGAGGAGGTGCAACTCTTCGAGAGCCCCCCGCTGGTGAGACGCACCGAGTTGGAGACGCGGTGGCCGATCTTGGAGGCGTTCTCATTGGAGGTGCGCCGGTGCGGCAAAAGCTGCGACTTCGGCGACCCGGTCGCCTTCTGCGATGCTTCGCGGCTGTCTACCGATACACGAGACCCCATGCTGATCTCAGCGTGGTGGCGCTCGCGCGTGCGTTGAAGCAGCAGAGTAGAAAATAGAAAAAGAGAAGCAACTACAACAAAATACGAATGAGGGGAGGTGATGATGTGTGTGTGTGAGAGAGAGAAGGGGGTGAAAAAGGCAGTAACACACACAGACGCACACACACTCAGTCGAGAAGGAAATAAGAAAAGAGGCAGAGAGACGCTATAGGCGAGGAACAACCACCACGAAGAAGGAGCGCCCCCCGGGGAGCAGCTAAGCGACGCGACACTATACAGAAAAAGGAAGAGAGGTGAGGAAAAAACCAAACAGAAGCAGAACCGTTGGGCAGTTGGGAAACAGGGTAGAGACACATATACATATCGGCTCGACACACGAACGAAAGAGGATTCAAAAGTTATATATAAATAAAGGGGGTTTGATAACGAAATGGCTGAAATACAGAACAAACAACAATACAACGACGAAGGAATGTGAGCGCTGCTTCCGACGAGTTCGTGGTCTAATTTGACGGTGCTGCTGCTATTAATTCTACTCAAGTACTCGTTTACAGGCAAGGTAGAAGGTGCGATCAATGAAATACAGGTGCAGAGATATTTATGTACACGTCAACGCGCTAACACGTCAAACGAACAGGCAAAAATAAGCTAACGGAATAACGGCTGCTTCGTCTATAAACAGGGGAGAATATATATATATATTTCTTATTTTGATGAAAGAAGAGAAAGACAGCAAAGAAACTCAAGGGATAGGAGGCGGCAAAGGAGCGTGTGAGGCCCTCTGCACGCAAAGGAAAAAAAAGAGACGTTTTCTACAGAAACTATCAGCAGCGAGTCGCACTTCTTCGTTTGGAATGCGAACTGCGACGAAGAACACAGAAGGATAAAGTGGAGGACAGCGCAGTTTGACGTTATTATAATAATCAGTATTAATATAGGGGACGCCAACAAAGTGGGGTGATCATAATAATAATAATAATACGGCAGAAGAGGAGAGAGGTGAATGATTTGGAGAGGAAATGAAAAGAGAAGAAGGAGTCTCCGAACACATTCAAATAAGACCGTGTCAGCGGGGGCGTGACACGTAAATCAACATCGATGAGGCCTTCGGCACTAGAACGCAGGTGGCACGACTAAGGTTTCAAGTTTTTGCTCCGCTTCTCTCTTCCCGTTCCGTTACGTACTGTAAAACAATAATAATAATAGAGTGTATACGAAATCTCACACGTGCTCGCGGTAATAACAACAGTGATAATAGTAGGTTCAGTGGGCTGCATTCGCTTTCCGTGTACGTCTACTGAACCACAAACGGAGAAGCGCAGCGCCCATATATAAAACGGGTTTTCGACACGATCAATGAGCATAGTTGACCCACCAATACACGTCACCGGCGTCCGATAGCTATCAACGCGTCTGTCCCACACGGAAAGAAAAGGAGATCATTGAGAAACAACAATAATAGCAATAAGAAGGGAACTGTGAAGAAGAGCGCGGTCCCACGAGGGAAGTCGGAGCACGCTCGAGAAAAACAAAAAACAAAACCCTCAGCAAGGACGGAGGAGCCTTCTGATGCTGCCTTCTTAAGTGTTGTTCTTGAGGAGCTTCTTCACCTCCTTTCGCGGCCACCAGTCCGGCAAGGTCATCTGCACCGGCGTCCCATCCTTCAGCTGGAGTCCTGGTACAGTGTGGCTGTCCTTCGCCACGTAGCGAAGACGCAGCAGACCCACACCGACCCCACCGCACACCCCCGTCACCTCCCCGATTTTCTCCTTCTCGGACGAGTAAAGCGATTCGCCCACGTCCACCAGCCGCGGCGTGGCGTGCGAATGATGACCATCATCATCAGCAGCAGCGGCGGCGGCGCCAAACACCAACGGCACCGTGCGCTTGCGCGTGACGAGCATCACGTGCGTGCGGTGCGTTAACTCCTGCCCCACGTAGCAGCCCTTGTGAAAGCTGACCCCCTGTAGGAAGTCAAGGTTGCCCTCAAAGGGAAGGGATTTGTTGTTCTTGAAGACGGACGGGCCTTCGCCGATGCCGCGGCTGTACAGCAGCTCGAAGTAGGGGTCCATGGCGGCGAGCGGCGGCGCCCACGTCAGCGGCACAACGCACCGCTTTAAAAACCACGGCTGCGAAGACGTTGAAAGGGAGGAGGAGGAGGGCGTCGCAGCAGTAGCAGCAGCAGTGGGACCATCGCCATCTGCGGATACGCTTGTCGTCTCCAGTGGCACCTTTGGCTTCGAAGGAGGCGGGAAAAGCACAGCGTTGCGGGCATCCGCAAAACACTCCGTGTGCTGTCCTTCCAACGTCTGCGACGATGATGCGTTCTCCGTAGAGACGCTACCATAACTGCGGACACCTTGAACAGAGCTTGTCGATCCTTCGAGTTCCCCCGAGTGCTCTAGCGACGCCACCACGGCCAGGTCCTCGCCCACGTTGTCGATCACCACCTTCTTGCGCATCTTCATCTCACCCAGGTGATCGCACAGCTCCTCCACGCTGCTCGCATCGACGTCCACCAGGATGGAAGCCTGGCCGTCGTGCACCCGCCTGCACTGATGCAGATGGGCATCACACATGACTCGACCGGTGAAGTAGAGAAAGCAGCCGTACATGCTGCCACTGGCGTGCAACTCGCGGAGGTCGTTGGTGAAGATGCCTTGCAGAAACTCGTGCGCATCCGACCCGCGCACACGCAGGATGCGGCGGTTGGACAGACGGCACGTAAACGGAACACGCGGCCGCATCGAAAGAGAGGGGCGAGGGAGGGAAAGAAAAATGGCTGTGCAGTGAGCAGATGTAGTGTGTGTGTGTGTGTGTGTGTGTGTCTGTGTGAGGATAGGTTGTAATAGAGGAGTAGAACGAACACGACGGACAGGTGTGTAATCCGCACAGATTGGGTTGCTACGGCTGCCCTCACCGGGAACAACACAGATGAAAACAGCGAGTCGAGAGGTGGAAAAAGGTGGAGAAGAAGTTGTGCGGTACTGCAGCTACATCTGCTGTTGTTTTGGAAGCGGCCTCTGCAATTCAATGCCCTTCAAGATTCTTGGAACAACAATAATAATAATAATAATAATAATAATAACTGACTGCCTTGGTAGCTTCCCATTGGGACTCTTTGATGATATACGTGTATAGAAAAGTATGCCGTTGTTGGTTAACAGCGGTGAAAAGTGGAAGTGGGTAAGCATCGCAGGCAAGGAATGACTCAGCCATCCCCAGACTCGCCATCGTCCGCAGCGGCGGCACAGAGGGGACACCGGCACACAAAGCCGTAGTGCTCCTGCAGGTAACGACGCCGCCGCTTCCCTGCAGCACGTCGGGCCGCCTCTCCGCCTTTTCCTTCTTCGTCGAGGGCGGCATCCTCGAACTGCTCTGGTCGGGTGTAGCTCGTGAGGATTTCTTCGCCTGCGTCGATGTGGCGCAGCGCCACCCTCGCGGCTTCCACGGGACCGGCGTTGGGCTGGAAACACACGTTTGGCTCACAGCTGTGGTTGAGTTTGGTAGCACGATCGTACAGCGCTACACCGGTGGCGTGGAGGGCGTCTGCGACGATGGGAAGTTGGGCGGAGGAGACGGCGGTGCGCCTGCTGCTTTTCGACGTCGTCGCCGACCACACCTTCGTTCCGTGAAACAGACTATACAACCGCGCAAACAACTCCATCTTCGCCGCTTGCACTGCGCCAGCGGTTTGGTCGTCGTCCCTGCTGCTATCGGCCGCCTCTGACCGAGTAGACGAAGGGGTGACATCCGCCAGCCAGCGGCACCACAGCGCGTAAAGGGGACTCGAAACAACATACATGTGCACGTTGGCATTGGTGAGCCAGTAAAGCTGAAGGTACAGCTGCAGCGGGAAGGCACGCGTTTCGGCCACTCGCAGAACGCCGCGTAGCCACTCCTCCGCGGACGCAGGCGTTGCGCCTGCGGCGATGCAACGTAGCAGAGAGTCGAGTGGCGTCAGCTGAGATGTGCTCTCGGCGTCGGTGCTTGACGTCACACACGAGCTGCGTTGACGTTCACTGCTCTCGTCCATTCGATTCTCCTCCACCACCACCACCTCCACGCAGCACAGCACCCACCACCACGTGAGCAGCTGCCAGCTGAACCGCAGCAGCGCCTTCTGATCTGCGCTGAGCAGCTGCATCGCACCCTCCGCGTACCGCTCGCACAGCGCCTCCAGGCGGACGCGAAACGTAACAGCAACCATCTCCAACCACTGCGTTACTTCGGGCGGTGCGGTCCGTTGCGGCTGCGCGACGGCAGGAAAAGGAAGGCGGGATGATGACGACGACAACACCGAGAGGGTGTTGTGCAGCTCCTTCGCCATCAGCCGCACCAACAGCCATACCCGCTCGTTGCAGCGGCGGGCAATGGAGTGCACAGTGGAGAGCACCGACAGCCGCGTCGGCCACGCAGCGTGCCGAATCGTGGCGGAGGTTGGGTGGTGCGCCGCGCGGAGTATTGTATCGTAGTCGGGGTAACGCAAAGCAGCGAGTTCGCGTTCGGAAAGCGGTGGAGCCGCAGCGTGACTTTCAGATGCTTCCGGTAGTGCGTTTGTTGGCAATGCAGTGCGTATCCCCGGTGGCTCCAACACAAAGCGCGTGCCGTCCTCGTTGAGGGATCGGGCCTCGCAGGTCGGGCCACAGAAGTAAACGATGTGCGCCGCCCCGGTTGCATCCACCTCGTTCACGTACGCTCGACCAGCTTGCGGCGGTGCTGCGGAAGCCTCCGAGCCGGTGTTGTGGACCAGTTCCCACAAGGAAAATTCCTTTCCATTGTCTCGTTCCGGCGAAGTGGCCCTTTCTGCCCTCAACATGCGTGTCGACGCACCGTCCGCATTACTATTATTCCTGCTGCCGTTGCCGTGACGTTGAAGCCTGAAGAGGCAGTCCAGCCGCGCACATTCTTCCTGGAGGGATTGCGGTAAGGGAGCCCCACAGCCGAAGCAGCAACGAACACGTTGAAGGCCCTCCCAACCACCTTGCGGATCATCCGCGCGCTGCGATGCTACGCACGTGACAGGCGAAGGCGAAGAATGCGAAAGACACGAGGGCGAGTGGGAGGAGGTCACGGCATCAGATAAATCGGTCGCGAAAGTCGATGCTCCTGCTCTCGTGACGGTGCCCCCACTGCTCATACACCCCTCATTTTTCATCGATTGCATGTTCCATGTGTCGTAGGACTGCGCGAAGACGTACGGCTTCTCTCGCAAAACGCCGTCGCCGGGCTCGTACGCCTGGGCGGCGAAGCCACCCACTCCACTATCAGCGTTGATGTACGATACCTGCACTGCAGGAGGCGAGTTCGAGGGTGGTGACGACGACGATGACGACGTTGCGACTGCAACGTCTTGCGTTTCCTTGCATTGTGGTTTTTGAAGTGGCATCGCAGCCTCCCCTTTGTTCAATGAACAGCTTCTGTGAAGGGCGGATGGTGAGGATGTTTCATTGAGCCTTCGCAAAGGAGAGAGAGAGAGAGAAGGCCATTAAAACAGACGAGCGAGGAGGAGATGCGAGGAGAGAAGTACGAAGCACACGTTGCGGGATAACGATTCTATCATGAAAAATACTAATAACAATAATAATAAAAGGAAGTAGCTCTTCAGTGGAAATCATCCAAACAAACGACATCGGCTACATCGACGAGGAGAAGCGCCAGGACCAAATGCTGTCGTACCGCGTTGCAACGCTAACTGTCATCTGATATGTCGCGCACTACCGCGTCACGCCTTCGCACTCACCGAAGTTGGTGAATGAGAGAAAGCCCCTTACACACGAAGCACCTCCTTATATAAAAGATAAATTATGAAGAGGCGGTAAAAGGCTGAGCTGGCCTTTCTTCTAAAAAAGGAAAAAGAAGGAAGAAGAGAAGGGCCGACTCGCACATCTCTTTAAACACGAAAACCAACAGGAATGATCTCTATGGCAGTCTCTCTCTTTGAAGCTGTGCTCTAAACAAAATACAAACACGGAAATATAAGCCCAACAAAGGTTGTTACAGTACCGCTTGCCACACATTCTTTCTTTTTGATCGCCATGCACTCATGTGGGCATCTCAGCTATGCCGTGCACGCCGCCAGCTGCGTAGTGACGCACAGCTCCAACGTGTGCCAGCGCAACGCCTGCCGCTGCGCCTCCACGGAGCCGTCCACGGCTGCGCTGCATACCCGCTGAGCATCTCGCCTTGTCAGACTGTGCTGGGCTGCCATCATCATTGCTTCGGAAACGCTATAGTACTCCATCAGCTTCGACACGTCCGCGTACTGCACGGCGCTGCTCTTCCAGAACGGCTCTGACGTGTTGCAGAAGCTGTGCTCGGCGGCGGTGTGATTGGTAGAACGAACCGACTGCTGAATTGCGGACTCAATGGACCGCTCCAGTTCGACGGCACTGCTGTTGTCCTGCAGGTTGCTATCGCTGTGCGATGAAGGATCCACACGCACGGGCGAGAACGTTGGATTGGAGGACGCGGCGCGTGGGGACCGATACAGAATCACCACGCTGCTCGTGTGCGGACCGGGTGGTAGGACTTGCAGAATGCGATCGAGGTTGTGGGTGAGGGAGAGGGAGGCGAAAAGGCGGCGACTGAAGGACATCCTTCGGCCTGGCAGCGCTGCCGCCGCGGTGGGGACGGCGTCAGTCGTAGTCGACGACTGCAGCGTTTCATGTTGCTGCTGCTGACCTTCGCCCATCGTCTTATTTGTTGGCGCAACAAAGTCATAGTTTGATTCAACACGAAAGAAGGCGACGGCGAGCTGCAGTGGGGACAGGATGAAGGCGTGGTCGACCACGGCAGCGTCGATGTGAAGCTTCTTCAGCTCTGCGTGAATGGCCGCGGCCTGTGTGCAGTTGTGGTAGCAGCAGACGTTTATTCCGCCTACTCGATACGGTCGTGGGATCGACGACATGTGCAAATTGGTTCTTTGGGCTGACGCGCGTGTGTGTTTGTGCCAAAACTGTGCTGCAATGAGTGAGAGGCCGTTGATGGTATGACGGCGCTAGTATTCAGAAGGCAGGCTTGATACGATGGGACGAAGGGTAAGGAGTCATAGGCGGTAGTTTTTATGGTTTGCTTTAACAGCGTCGATCGAAAGAAGAAGAGCGCAGAAGCGAAAAGTGGTTGAGTGGGAAGGAGCAGCAACGTCACGAGAAGGACACCTCCACTTGCACATGAAGAGCGCGCCCTACAACATGGCATCCTTTCAAGAAAAGAAAGAAACAAACAAACAACAAAACAGCCTTCTTTTTCTACATTTGCGCGAGTAGAAGGGGGGGGGGGGGCGTTGCCCACACAAAAACCTACTTGTTCGTTCATACGCCGACTCGCCCCGCGCAGACGATGACCGCCAGTCCTGCGCTCTACGATGAAGGAGGACACACATGGGCATAGAAATGCATTCTTTTGTATATAATGCTTGTTGTTGATGTTGATGTTTGCATGCATTTGGACCTTTCTGTTCCGCACCCGCAGATGCCGCGTGCGACCGTGTGCCTGTATCTGCGCGCGCCACTGGGAAAAAAATAAAATCCCCCGGTGCTGATGCGCACACAGCGCGAGTTGAGGTGGTGGGGGTGGGGGGAGAACAGAGGATAACGGTATATGAGATATGCTTCCTTCTTGTAAAAGAAGAGCGGCGAACGGGCGACGCAGCGTCGTTCGTCGTTGTTTAAAAACAACACAATAAAACGAAGAGGTAAAACACAAGAAGGGAGATTTTTTTTGTTCGAAGTCGACGATGAAATGGACGGGACCATGACCGTACACCCGCACACCAGACAACACGAGCATAAAAATTGGAGTGGGTGTGCGGCGAGACGTAGAAAGACAAAGGAAAGAAGAAAAAGATCAAAAAGAGAGAGCATCGAAAGGAAGAGAACTCAGTTTTCCTTTTGAGTCCGTTTGTGTTTGGTCGGTAGACGAGGGGAGAAGATAGAATAGTAGTAATAATGAAGGAGAAAGGCAGTGGCAAACACCCGCCCCCGAGCTTTTGTGCCTGCGTGCCGCCCTTCGTTTCTCTCTGGAGCCCGACGGATCGTCACGGCGTGCCTGCAGATCAAAAATAGAAAAACAACGGGAGTGGCACGGTGATAATCTGAAAGACCTTCGAAAGAGCACACAGGGAAAACAAATGAAAGAAAAGAGACGAGAAAAGAGGGCTTACTTCGTGTCCAGGTGCAGGACGTACTTCTGGCTGTCCGGCTTGGTCCCCTCAAACGAACGGGCGTACACCAGCTCCACCGTGTGCTTGCCCGGCCGCTTCGGCGTGACCGTCACGTGGTACTCACCCCCCACGCCGACCATGCCAGGCTTGCTGGGTGTCTGCTTGAACTCCGCCACCACCTCCATGTCGTCGTCACTCAGCACATCCTTTTCTTCGTAGTTCACGCGCGTCCACCGGTAGCCGGTCGTGGGGTTGCCCTTCAGGGTGATGTGCAGCGGCTGGCCAACCTTCGCCGCCACCGTTGTGTTGTTGTCGTGAATGGTAAGTGCGCCGGCCATTGTTTCGAGGAGGGGAAAGAAAAGGCGGGAGGTAAAGGCTTTAATGGTTGGTGTGTGGAGGCGGGAAGAGGAACAGCGAGAAAAAAAAACTGCGCCGGTGGCGTTGCGTGTGGAGACGTGTGCAAAGGACGAGGAAGAACAGACAGGGGAGAGAGAGAAAAAGAGACAGCAATGACAAGGCGGGAGGGCAGCCGCTAACGGCGTTGGACTCCCAAAATGCAGGCGCGGCGTGCCAAGCGCATTTTTTTTTTCTTGAACTCCTTTTCTTAGAGATTCGGCCTTTGCAAGTGAAAGCCTCAGGAAGCGCGCATCTTTGTCCGTCCTTTTCTTCTTCATTCGTGGCGAAGCACAGCAGCCGCTTTGAGGAGCAGAAACAAAAGGACGCGGCACGCTGTTGGATACGACACGGGAAAACATAACAATGATAATAGGAGCAACAATTTCATATCAAAACAACAAAATCAAAAGAAAATGAATGTGCACATACGGCGCACGCACGCGCCGAGGAAAGAGAAAGGAAAAAGAAAACAACGACAACGTATAATAATAATAATAGTAGTTGTAGTCATGCGTAGAAGGGCAAACCTCACACGTCTCCGCTTCCGATGAAGGCGGAGTAACAACGATAATAGTAATAATACGCAAGACTTCGTGTGGCACCCCTCACAGGAAGAGGTTGCGCGAAGATGTAATGCCCTCCCTTCTCTACAAAATACCACAAAAAAAAAATTGAAACGACGACAACAAGTACGTTACCAGCCGCATTTGTCCATGTTCTCGCCAAGAAGCCGGCGTGACTCAGCGGTGAGGAGCACGTAGCCGGCACTCAACGCCGTAGCGGCGCCGTCGTCGACCTCGCCTTCCGTGTTGTCCGACGGCATCGCCAGAGCCTTGTACGTTGTTGGGTTTGTCACCAACACATAAACCCGAGTGCAGGCGGCAGACCCCGACACATCATTCACCCCATCGCGTGTGTTCGAATCAACACCGCTGTCCCCCGCTTGTGCCGCACTATCCACACAAACTGTGGAGCTCCCTTCAAAGTCGTAGCCCTGCTTGATCAGCAAGCTGCGTTTGTACTTGAAGGTGGTCGTCTGCGTTGAGTCGTCTTCGGCCTTCGTCGTCGTTGGCGACGCCGTCACGATGGACTCACTCCTCTCCTCTTCCGTACCCCCATTCTCTTCCTCCTCCTCGGCGGCGAGCGGGTCTTGCATGCGGACAAACAACGGAATTGCGTAGGCCGGCAGCGTGGCCTGATTAGCAGAGCCGTCGCCGTTGCGGGTCCTCTTGCCGGAGAGGAAGGCGTAGAGGTCTTCCTGCAAAAAGCGACGCTCCTCGACAAGCGACACCACAACTTGTGGCGACGGAGAAGAGGAAGCCCTACTAGAGGCAATTTTCTGCGGAGGAGGACTACCGTTGCGGTGCGCGTGACTCGGCTGGAGACTCAGCATCGCCATCCCCGCACGTCCTTCGCGGCCGGGCAGCCGCACGCCGTAGACGACCGCCTCCTGCACCTCGACCCGCGCCGTATGGATCGTGTTCAGCGCGTTCGACACCTCCAGCGTGCTCACGTTCTCGCCCTTCCAGCGAAATGTATCGCCGACACGGTCGACAAAGCTGCAGAAGCCGTAGCGGTCCATTCGAATTAAATCCCCGGAGAGGAAGTAGCAGTCGTTCTGGTAGGGCCACAGCACATGCCGAATCACCCTACTCTGCCGCGCTGCTGCATCTTCCTCTTGGTCTCCGCCGGTGCGAGTAGCAGCAGCGCCACCAGCACCCGCCGTCGTTGGGTTTGCCTTGTGGTAGCCATCAAAGCGACGCAGCGCAAACATGTCGAAGCCTTCAATCACCTCGCCCACCACTTCGCCGACGTCGCCGACGGCGCAATGTGCACAGTAGCCAGACTTCGGGTCGCGGTACACCTTCTGCGCCGCCTCATCGAACCGTAGCACGCGGAATGGGAACAGTGGGAAGTACTGCATCGAGAGCCACGCGATGGGCGGCGGGAAGCGAGGGATATGGCCTACCACCCCAGGCATGCCGTACAGGTTCAGCAAAAAGATGTTGCCCTCGGTGGAGCTGTAGAACTCTACCGGGTGGGCGATGTTCAGTCGGCGCATGCACTCCAGCCAGATATCTTTCCGCAGCCCGTTGCCGAAGGCGTAGGGGACCCGCCACGTGGTGCGGTTCTCGGCGGCCAGCGCCACCGCCGCCGAGACTGCATCTGCGCCCGAGGCGCCATCCGCGGTGGTGCACGGTGCAGCGGCTGCCGGCGGGTGACCGCGTTCGTACAGCACGGCGTACCGCAGCACCTCACCGATGTACTGAACCACCGTGACATGGTAGCGCTGCAGATCTTTCCGGAACTGCGACGCGCTAAACTTTGAGCGCAGGATCATGCGCACCGTCGGCACCGTGGCGGCAAGACGAGTCGATAGCGGGGCGCAGCGGCAGAGTTGGGCCCAGGCGTCCTGCTGCTCCGCCAGCGCGTGTAGGAGGTGGCCGAGACAGAAGACGCTCCCCACCGTGTGGTACATGGGCAGGCAATTGTAGATGGTCACGATGCGGCGCTCCGCCTCGATCACCGCGAGCTGGGCCGGCGAGTACCACCAGCTCTCCACCGCCTTGTTGACGTAGTACTCCACGCCAGCGAGGGAGGCGAAGTAACGCACCCACCACAGCAGAACGTTGCAGAAGATGACCAACGTCGCCTCCACGGTCGTGCGTTTGCGCCGGGACGGGTTGAGGACTTTGGCGCCGAATACTTGTGGGATGGACGGGCAGCAGTAATTGCCGCCGCCACCGTCGGTGCTGCCGTCATCTGTGGACGAGGCGGCCTTCGCGGACGAGTCTTTCACACCGCTTTCATCTTCCATTATGCCGGTTGGCGCAGGAGAAGACGTTGCGGAGACCGCAGAGGCGCTGTCGGACTGCGCGTAGAACATCACCGCGTCCGGGTGGGCGTCGACGTATTGCACCTCGTTGTACTGCTCCACCACCGTCTCCGCAATCCGCTCCCGGTAGTACAGCACGCGGGACAAGAAGCCGGTGGCGAAGAAGCGCAGGTGGCTGAAGCGCGCCGCCTTCGGCAGCCCCGTCGTGCCGGAGGTGTAAATGAAAAGGACGGGTTGCGTGTGATGGAAGCGGCGCAGCAGCACGGAGAGGATGGCCGCCATTTTCACTTTGTAGTGCTCGAGCTGCGTGCGACTCTGCGCCGAGTCGGCGGCGGTCGTCCACGGCACGGCGGTGGCCTTCTTCACCTGCCGCAGCGCTGAACTCACTGTGTTCAGTTTCAAGGCGAGCAGCGACTTCCACCCCGGCGGTGGCCGGGCGAGGATGTGGTGCACCAGCAGGCGGGCTTTGGGGCTGCTGATGAGGTAGGTGTGACGCATCTCCCCCACCGTGAAGGACGGCGTGGCCTGTGCCCGTTCGTAGAACGGCCGCACCCTCTCAAAGAGGTCCAACGGAGGGGTGGGTGGTGGCGGTGAGGGTGGCGGCAGCTGCGGGGCGTCAGCGGTGTTGTAGCCCGCCATGGCCATCCGTTCCTCTTGTGTTGGCTGCGCCACTTTCGCAGCGTCACCGCCGTAGGCAAGCGCGTTGAACTCGTCGAGCAGCTTCATCATCTCTGCTGTCATCCTTCTGTGCAGCGGCTCGCCGTTGGCTTTGGAGATGCGCCAGAGGTAAATGCGCTTGACGTGCGGCGGCACGTGCAGCTTCACTGATGCGTCGTTGTTCTTCCTCCTTGCATTACCCTCCTCTCCCTCTTCAGCGGGCTCGCACGCAGAGAACAGCAGCGGCACGTACGCCGCGTCCAGCAACAGCATCGTACTGCCAGAGCATTCAATGGCGTGGTAGAGCATGGCGTTGCTGACCAGATTTGTGTTGAGGAGCGCGGTGCGACACGGGCGGTAGGTGCCCCCGCGATCGCCACTGCCGATGATGTGGTTGCTGTTGCGGTAGAGCACGTCGAGGAAGGTGTGCAGCGGGCCACTGCGTGCTGCGGCCATCCAGATGGTGTTGTACTCCACCGAGTTCGGCAGCATCACGGCAATGCAGTCCGCCTCCATTCGGTGCGCAGACGGCGCAGACACTTCTGCGGTAGTGCCATGAAGTTGTGTCTTCGCCTGGCGGTCCAGTTCAGCGTGGATCCAGAGCAGATCCCAGGCGATCGCCTCGCTGAGCAACGTGGTTAGGTTCACGAAGTCGCGATACGTGATGGCCACCGGGTGGCCCGCGTCGATTAATGTGGCGTACGTCGCGTCGGACTGAGACATGCGGAAGACAACGTTTTCCTCGCTTGCGTGCTGCTCGTGCGGGACCACGCCGGCTGCCTGCTGGGCGGCACGGTGCTCCTGCACCAGCAGGTCCTGCTTCATCATACGAGTGAGAAGCTTTACGTCCGCCGCCTCGCCGTGCGTGATGGCGGCCAACGCGTCGAACTTGGCGAGCAGCTCAGCTAGAAAGGCGTGCGCGTCTACCGGGCCGCTCGCCTGGGAGCTGACGGGACGCGTCATCGCCGTGGAGGGACCTTCGGCGCTTGCTGCGTCATCGTCTCCAGCTGTTCCGAGGTACAAAACGCCGTCCTCCGGGCTGTGCGTGACTTTACGCCGCCAAAGACTCCGTGCGCAGTAGACGGTGAGGTGGTACGGCACGCAGGCGTGTCGCAGTTGGACGCCACTGAGGCAAAAGCCTAGCTGAAGGTAGGCGCCCAGGCTGCGGAGGGACAGCTCGATTCCGAGGTACCAGTTGAGCTTCCCTTCCGTGTTGACGGTGGACATGACGAAGGAAAAGAAAAAACACCCCTGAAAAGGAAGGAGGAGTAGGACAGCGGATCTAAGGAGGAAACAGAATTACGAAAGAAGAGGTGGGAGAGGGCGTATATATGCCTTCAATTTTGTCTTTGAATTTGCAAAACTAAGAAACACGAATCAGAACGGCTAATGGGAGTTTTGACGGGAGGCGGGCGCAGATGCGTGGATGAACCAACAAAAAGAACATAAAATAGGAAAGAAAACCGCTGCTTCTACGACGTCCGGCACCTCAACAGGCGGACGGAAGTGGTAAAAGAGAAGGATAAGAAAGGTTGAAGCGGAGGAAGAGGAGTGGTGTGCCTAAATGACAAGCAGAGCTTTGCGCAACGCTGCGACTGTCATTGCGAGGTTCGCCGACAGTTGGATGCGCCCGGAGGCTTCCATGCATGCGAGTAACGCGTGTAGTGATGCTCTGAAAAAAAAAAACCCCACATGGCGGGAAGTATTTCGATTCGCTGCAGCCTTTCCACGAAGGTGCGCATCAGCATCTCGAAAACAGCTTTGGAAAGGCGCAGTGGATTCTTTCTCCACTTCGAATACACCGCGCTTCCCTCGCCCGTTGTCATCAACGCTATGAGGCGGGCGGGGGAACACGCGATGTTCATCGCACTCCTTCCATTCCGTTGCACATCGGCGCATTTCTTTTTTGTTGTCTGTGTTCTCCCGCCCCTTCTTCTTCGACTCGCTTTGACTTCCTTTTCTTTAAAGAAGAGGTTTTATAAGACCTTTCCGACACAATTCCACTGTTCAGAACGTAGAACACAGAGAGAAAAGAAGGAAAACACCTGCATCAGAACTTTACGCAGAGAGCGACTACAAACTTCACGTATCTCTCGCGTCTAGCACAGCTTTCATCATTTATAAAAACAACAACAACAACAACCAACACTCATCGTAAGAAGATTCTTCCTCCTCACCGCAGGACCGTTCCTGTTCTTCTCTTGTTGACAAAGAAATCCAAAAGGATTGCAGAGACACGCGCGTGCACAACGGTGCGATTCTTTGGAATTTCTTTTCCTTTTTGGTAACGACCACAAGCAGCAACACCATCGTCATTCGATTTAGCTGTTTAATAAATGTTGATTAAATAGTCACTAGCAGCTGCAGCTGCAAACGGGGAAAGCGTAGCGGCCCAACAACAGTAAGAGAGAGGAGGGGGAAAGGAGGAGAGGGAAAGAGGCCGAGGCATCATTTTCTTTTTCCCTTCCGGCTGCGTGCAACAACGCGCAGAGCCGCAGCGTAGACGTTCGCACCGCTACGTAGGAAGAGAGAAACAGAAAGGAGCCGGAAGTTGACGAGGAACGCAGCAGTTACCTTCCTCTCATGTCAAACCCATCCGCGTCATCCGCGCTGCACACACACACGCACACACCACCATCGTCATCACACAAGGTTCTATTGATACGGCTGGAAACCACCTGGAGGCATCCCACCAGGCAGCACCGACGGGCCGCCGCTACCAGAGGCACCCCCGCCGCGGCCACCACCACGACCGCGGCCAGCACCGCCGCGACCACCACGGCCACCGCGATACCCACCGACTGCGCCAAGCATGCCCATAAAGGCGGCGATGGCCTGCAGTGAGTCCGCGCCACCACGACCGCGACCGCCGCGACCGCCGCGTCCCCCGCGGCCCGGCTTAAAGTTTGAGCGTTTGTGTGTTACCTGAGACCGGTGCCAGCAACACCGCACAGACAGATTTTTTCCAAGACGGAGCATAACAAAGAAGTCGAAAGAGGAGAGGGCCAGGACGAGAGGAGAAGTTGATGTTGATGAAGAGGGGTCGAGTTGGAAAAGGGGGGGGGGAAGCAAAGGAGTCACCCCCCTCCAAGCCAAGCAACCAACCACAACAGCAGCAACAACAATAAAGCCGAACGCACGTACGAAAGAGTAGGGAGAATTGAAGGAAGCCCACCACGCACGGTGAGAGGAGGCAGCAGCAGTGGAAATATTCGAAACATCGGCTGTAGTGGCGACGTTTGGAAAAGAAGAGAGGTAGAGAGAGAGAAGGGGGAAGGGAGAGGAAGAAAACACCGCAGCTGCATTTTGCTTCAGCTCAAAACTAGATTACCCCCAATTCATGAGCGCCGCAAACACACGCTTTGGCGGCGAATACATATAGAAAAAGAAAAACAACAACAGCAACGATACGTCCAATTACAAGACTGAGGTGGCGCAAGGAGCTGTACTACTTCACTCCCGCCCAACACAATACGCTGCGTCCTATTTCACATGGAGAAAAATACAAAAAAGTTGTACTTTCAGCTAAAAGGAGAGAGGGAAAAAAGTATGCTTATATCTCGTAAACGAATAAAGAAAGAAAAAGGTCAGTGAAGTCGGCATTGACGTGCAGTGGTGCGCTAGATTTTTTTTTTTTGGTAATATATATTTTTGCATTTGTTCTACTGAGCTCTTTTTGTTGTTGGTATTTCAGTTTCCTTTGTTTGTTTGCGTCGTCCGCCGCTGCTGCCTTCCTCTTCATTTCTTTTTTGGGGTTTTCTTTCATGCTGTTTTGTTGCTGTTGCTGACGTTGTTGATTGTTTGCTGACCTGGAGGGGGGTGA